CATATTTGCAAGTCGCTTGGTGAGTGGAATAGAGGAGAAACTTGCATGTGGTGGTGTTCCCATTATCTGCTGCTGATGTCCTCCAGGATGGAACTGACTGTAGGTTCGGAAGGTGCTGGCCCAAGGATTTTTATTAAAGTGCAGATAAGTGCACAATGTATTTGTTCAGTTCCCATAAAACAGAATACAAGCTGTGCCATTCCAAGTAAATGGTGCACAGATCCGCAGAGAAATTTTGACTTCTGTCAATGTCTGTTCCATCATGTCATAAGCCATATTAAGTTTTTGCAGAAGTGAAATACCACAGATGCTGAAAGTCTGATCTAAAAATGGAAACTGTGGAAAATAACCCAAGTTTGGCGGCATCTATGGGGAGACAAACAAAGTTAAGGCTTTATAGAATGGAATGATGGAATAGTTACAGCACAGAAGGATGTCATTTGGCCATTTGTGTCAGTGCAGTATCGGTGACAGCGTCTAACCCAACTGATCCCCACACTTCTTTTCCTCCCGGCCCGACAATTTTTTTCTCTTCGAATAATTGCCAAATTCTGTTTTGAAATATTGAATCTACCCTCCATCACATGTGAGAAGTAGTATTAAAGGCCCTAACCACTTTGAACATGAAACAAAAATGTTATTCCAATCTTGCCATTGCTTCTACTGACAGTAATCTTAAATTTGTGCTCTCAGATTCTCAATCCTTGCATCAATGAGAATAGTTCAATATTTCCATATAATTGAAATTCTTCATCCCTGGAATCATTCTTGTAAATAATTTCTGCACCCTCAGTAATGCTTTCACATCTCTGCTAAAGTCGGGGCCCAGAATTGAACACACTACTCCATTTTGTTAATATAGCAAAGAGTCAAGGAGGACTGGTGAATGAAAGGAGCTGTAATACTGAATAGTTAAGAAACTTTACCCTCAAACAAAGATAGGTGTTGTTTCTGTTTCAGCAAGTGGCTTGGATCCAAGTTGACACATTCGAGGCCAAGCCAGTGTTTTTATATAACTTGCTTGCTTTTGTTTTCTAAACCCCTAATTATGAAGCGCAGGATTTCATTTGCTTTATGAAGTGCTTTCTCAGCTTGCTCTGCCACCAACAATGATTGTTCACCCATACCTCCAGGTCTCTCTCACATCCACTTTAGAATTGTGCCTTTTATCTTGGATTGTTTCTTGGCATTCTTCTCACCAAAATGAATCACTTCACACTTCTCTGCATTAAATTTCAAATGCTAACTTGTCTGCCCATTCCATCAGTCTAAGTCCTAAGAGTGAAGTTAAATGCAATGAAGCTGGAGGAACACAGCAGGTCAAGGCAGCATCAAAGGAGCAGGAAAGTTGACGTTTCGGGTCGGGACCCTTCTTCTCTGGCCCCGACCCAAAACACCAACTTTCTTGCTCCTCGGATGCTGCCTGACCTGCTGTGTTCCTCCAGCTCCACACTGTGGTCTCTCTGACTCCAGCATCTGCAGTTCTTACTAACTCCAAGTTACATGCAGTCTTGTTCAATGAATAGAGTAAAAGACAAGGCAGTGGATTATTTGAAATCTTTGACTAAATCTAAACTGAAAAAGTTAGCAGATAAACTGAAGACTGGTAAGAATAAGATGCTTAAAACTAATTACCCAGCACTTTCAATATATAGGAGGGAAGCCTGAACTTGATGTGTCATTGCTAGAATTAGCTAAGATTCAGCAATACATGAAAAAAAACTTGACTTCGAGAGAAATATAAATTAAAAGTTTTGCATTGGAATACAATGAAAAGAAATTAGAAATGGAAAAAGGAAAAGAAAGAGAGAATTAGAATTAAGAAAGCTTGAATTGTAGGGCATTGAGAAAGAAAAACAGGAAGAAATGAAAGGTGAGATTCAATTATAAAAGTTTCAACTCCAAAGAGATGAGGACTCTGGCAAGATGACTTGTGAGAGAAAAGTTTAGCAGTAGGAAGCAAAAAAGAGATAGCAACTCAGAACGATTTTCATTCTAATGAGAGAGTATATTTAATTGCACATTTTTGTTCAATGTCTAAATTTACCAAGGATGCAATTGAAAGATATTTCACCTCATTTTAAAAGGTTTCTAGGAAGAAAAAAAAAGGCCAAAAGATGTTTGGACCTTAATTTTACAGCATGTTTAGACAAGAACACCTATAAACGTATATGTCAGTTTGTTCGAAGAGCAATCTACCGACTATCAAACTGGTTTTGGAAAGAAAGTGATGCTTAATGTTTATCAATTTGTTGCATACCAATTAAAATTTAGGACATTATGAAGGAAATTTGGTCAGGTATTTGTAGGATTTGCCAGAGAAAAAGAAACGATATGAGTTCACTCCTTTTGATCACTGAAGGTGGAGAAAAACATAAGAGAATTTTCTTTTTATTCTTTATTCATTCACGGGATGAGGGCATCACTGGCTAGGGCAGAATTTATTGCCCATCCCTAATTGCCTAGAGGGCAGTTAAGAGTCAACCACATTGCTGTGGGTCTGGAGTCACGTAGTCAAGATCAGGTAAGGATGGCAGTTTCCTTCCCTAAAGGGCATTAGTGAACCAATTGGGTTTTTCTGACAATCGACAATGGATTCACGGTCATCATTAGATTCTTAACTCCAGATATTTATTGAATTCAAATTCCATCATCTGCCACGTGGGATTTGAACTTGGATCCCCAGAAAGTTATCTGGGTCCCTGGATTAACAGTCCAGCGATAATACCAGCCATCGCCTCCCCATAAGAGAACTTATGATTATGGCAGAATTTCAAAGTGAACTGGCAGGCCCTGGGTTGTGAATGGGCTCTGTTTGCAAGTCAATTTGTACGCAAGTTGGAATGCAATGCAGGACAGTATAAAATAGTCCTTTCTCAGTACAGGAAATGTTTGTATGTTGGATCTTTAACATTACAACCCTCTATGGGATTCCATTTGAAGATATGAGCATTGGTAAGTTGGACGCCCGTAAATCGGGAATCCCCTACATTCCAACAAACATTAAAAGTTATCTGAATGAGTGTCAAGTATCAATAATCTAAAAAGCAGCACTTCTGGCAGATACCAATGATATCTCTTAAACAGTTACTTGTAGGGAAATATGAGAATTGGGGATCCAAGGTGAAGTGGTATTGTCACTGAACTCATAATTCAGAGACCTGGGTAATGCTTTGGGGACCTGGCTTTGAACCCACCATGGCAGACAATGGAATTTAAGTTCGAAAACATCTGTAATTTAAAGTCTAATGATAATTATGAAACCATTGTTGCTTTGTCATTTTAGAAAAATACTCATCTATACTCCTCTAGTTCCATTTCGCTAATAGCTTATTTCAGTGGAAATTATCCCTCCTAATGAAAGAAAATGTGTCATCTTTACTTGTTCCAGCCTACATGTGATTCTAGATTCTTAACTTGACTCTGAGCTGCTCTTGAAACTAAGTCAACTGATTAGCTTCCATCTGGAATACTGTGCTGCACTTAGTGCAGTTTTGATCGCCTTAGCTCAGGAAGAAAAGGGAGTGCAACCAGGGTTCATCAACTTGTTCCCGGAATGTCAGGACTGCCCTATGAATACAGATTAGTCAAACTGCAATAATAACAGAAAGTGCTGAAGAAACTCAGCAAGTCAGGCAGCATCTGTGGAGAGAGGAACAGGGTTAATGTTTCAATCCAATAGCTTTGTTCACTTCAAAGTACTGTAAGTACTGGAGATGCTTTCTTTTGGGCAAAATTGAGTCTATATTCTCCGGAGTTGCGAAGAATGAGAAGTGGCTTCATTGAAACCTACAAAATCCTGAAAGGGATAGATAGGATAGATGCAAATAAGATGTTGCCCTGGTTGGGGAATCTGAAACCAGGAGGCATAAAGGAGAAATAAGGAGGATGCCACTTAGTTTGGAAATAAGGAATAATAAATTATTTTACTGTTGTGAACCTTTAGAACGTCTGTGGAGGCTCAATCTTTGTGTATGTTTCATATAGAAATTGGTTAACAGATTTCTGATTACCACTAGCATACAAGGATATAAGGATGGAATTGGTAAGAGGCATTGAAGCATCCCATCAGCCATGATCACATTGAATGGCGGTACAGGCTGGATGAATTGAATGGCCTGCTCTTTTTCCTATTTTTATTTGTATACAGGATTGATTGCATGTCGTGTACGGGTCAGTTGTCAGTTGTCAGTATACAGATCCCATCGCCTCTTCCAAAATTGTTGGGAAGCAGTACTGCATTGGAAAGCCAGCACACTGCTGAGGGTAATGACACTAAGGTTTCACTCACCTCCAGCTCCACCTCGGAAGCCAACGAAAAATTCAGCCCTGTGTTTAACTCTGAAAGTAACAACAAAATCATTTGGGAATTTGTATGTTACAAAGTTGTAACTTGACTGAGCACAATTTATATTGTCATAAACAATGAAAGTTGAAGTAGGTTATAATCCAGTCCATCCATCCAGTAATCCAATCCATTCAGTCAGCAAAAATTTTATAATTTGCTTGAAGTTGTCAGCATAGGAAAATTAGTGACGTAACACAGAATTCCAATGCAATATTTGAAATGTATTTTTAATGCATCATGCACAACAGTAATATAGTTAATGGGGAGGCAATGGCCTAGTGATATTATCGCTCGACTGTTAATCCAGAGACCCACATAATGTTCTGGGGACCTGGGTCCGAATCCCACCATGGCAGACGGTGGAATTTGAATTCAATAAATATCTGGAATTAACAAGCTAATGATGACCATGAATCCATTGTCGATTGTCGGAAAACCCATTTGGTTCACTAATATCCTTTAGGGAAGGAAACTGCCATTCTTACCTGGTCTGGCCTACATGTGACTCCAGACCCACAGCAATGTGGTTGACTCTTAACTATCCTCTGGGCAATTAGGGATGGGCAATAAATGCTGCCTAGCCAGTGATGCCCTCATTCTGTGAATGAGTAAAGGAATATAACTTTTAAAGACAAATTTTCTGTCTTCACAGCTCCCATAGAACCTTTGCTATGCAAGTTTGCTGATGGCGGCCAGAAAAAGAGACAAAATCAGAACAAATATGTACAGAATGGACGAGCATGGCATCGAGAGGGCGAGGTGAGACTTGTAAGTCACAACCAATCAACTTTTGATCCTTCCATCCATGTAAAGCACCCCCTCATCATTGACATCCTATTCCTCTCTAAAGTCTTCAAACATACTTTCTTTTCCAAAATGATTGACCCTACTGTCCTTCTCTATCTCCTCTCTCCTGTCATCCATTATCAAAGAAATGGCTACATTGGCCTCTCTTCCTTTTCTTTCTCTGGTAGCCCTCAAGAATCTATTCCTTACTCCCTCTTACTTCTTATCTAAATGCTATTACTTGGTGACATCATTCAAAAACACATCAGATTCCACATGTATGCTAACAACACCCAGTTTTACCTTCCCATCCTTCTCAGCTCTTCCACATGCTTTGAGTTGTCAGGCTGCTTGTCTAGAATCCAAAACCAGATGATCAGAAATGTCCTATAAACAATATATTGAGAAGACAGAAGCCATTGTGTTTAGTCTCTACCATATTTTGCTGCCAAGCTGCTGTTCCTAACCCTGTCCCTGTTTGAGGTTGAATCAGGCTGCTCGTAGCTGTGATGTTGCATTTGACCCTGAGATCAGCTTCTTACCACATCTGTGCTGCTGTGAAAATCGTTGATTTTCATTTCCATAAATCACCTGTTGCTGATTCCACTTTAACTCATCTGATGCTGAAACTGTCATCCATGGCTTTGCTACCTCTCGATTTGAGTTTTCCAATGTACTGCTGGCAGTCCTTCCAGGTTTTCCCCTCCTCAAGCCTTTGCTATCCACGTCTTAATTTCTGCAAGTCGTGTTTGTCTAAGACTGCTCTGTTGGTTCCTAGTTGTTTTACACATCAATCTTAAAGTGTTCACCCTTGTTTCCAAGCCTCCTAATGGTCACGCTGCTCACTAACTCTAACTTCCTACAGCTCCATGACCATCCAAGGTATCTGCACTCTTCTAATTGTTGTCTCCACAGCATCTCTGATTTTAATCGGTCCACCATTGGTAGTTACGCCTCAGCTACTTAGGGCCTAAGCTCTATAATTTCTCTGTAAACCTTTCCACCCCTATTTCAGTAAGGTGTTCCTTAAAACCTAGGTGCTTGTTGACATCATAGTTGGAGGTCTAGCTTTAATTTTATTGTTAGACTCCCTTGTTCTGGACTCTACCATCAGAGAAAATAATTTCCATCTACACTATAAATTTCTACAACCACCTTAGTCAGCCCAATTAAATCACCTCTTAGTCACTTGTATTCAACAGATTAGATTGATTCTGTCCTTAAGCACCTCCTTCAAGGGCAACATATCCTTCCTGAGGGACAATGCCAAGAGGTGAATGCAGTTACTCTGCGTGCGCATACACACCATTAAAATTCTAACTGTTTGACTACTGGATCTGTTCAATTAACATACAAGAAATAAGTAGATTTCCAGGCATGGTCATTTTAAATATTTGATTGAATGTTTAAAATTAGTTCTTCGTTCTTTGTATGGTAACAAGTGCAGGGTAAAAATTAATTTAAATAATAACCTGAAGCTGAGCTTGTTCAATAGATAGATTATCAAACAGTTAAAAATACCTGAACCTTGTCAGTAAGCTCAGTATGAATGCTATTAAGTGTAGAGATTCAGGAGATACTGATTCTTTTTCCAGGCAGGAATGACCCTCACTTATGATCCCAGCGCTATGCAAAATGGGTAAGTAACAAAATTGATTTTGTACATGAGTAAATGCTCATTTAAAACAATGTACCATTAAAAACTTTATTATTTTTGAATGCAGGAGTCCTTTTCAGAGGGTTTAATTATGTTTTTGTTTAATTCTGTCTCAAATATCAAGTGTGATTGACTACTGTTGGCCACTTACTGTTGCTTTTTAGATTTTATTCAACACCATACAGCGTTGCAACAAATAGAATGATTGCTCAAGCATCTCTTACACCATACATTGCATCTCCTGTTTCAGCGTATCAGGTTGGTATTCCCACAGCTTATATTATTGTGAATTATTTTATGGAACTGTTGATTATGAATCTGCATAAAATGATGTGCTAGTTGCAAAGAGTAGAAAATAATTGGGCAATAATTTCTGTATGTGTATCTCCATTTTAAGTAATTTTTTTGTGCTTTGAGACATTTCAACATCATAAAATATACAAGTAAAATATATAAGTAAGAATAATTACTGGAGTGTCTGGAGTTGCTTTTAATTATTTTAATAATGTCATTGGCTCTCTTGATTGCTGAGTTTCTGTAATCAGTCACTGAACCATGCAAACTGGAAAGATCATAGTTAAATGCCAAGCTGAATTGGCTCATCTTAATCTAACCAGAAATAGTTGGCCTCAAACCCTGGATTATACTCCCAACTCTAATCCTTATCCATTCAGATTTTGGAAGTGTCCACATGTTGATATTATATGAGGATAAGATGACACTGAAGTGTTGTTGAATAAGGTGTTGATATTTGTTGTCAAAATGCACACATCAATTATGTCTGTTTGGATGAAATGCGAGAAGACAACCAGGACCATAGAACGATATAGTAGGAACTAGTCAGTACTTTGAGAAGAAGCGATAAAGCCCAAAAGCTGGCCCCTTGAAAGATATCACGCAAAATTGTTCCTGTGAATTTCAGAAATTTGAGATAAATGGACTAATAAATCCAACCATAGAACTGTGTTGCAGATGCTGAAAATTCAAAATGAACCCACAAAATGCTGCAAATACTCTAGTGAGACAGCATCTGTAGAGAAATAAAGCTAGTTTTCAGGTCAATGACCATTCACGTTCTGACCTTTTACATATTCTCTATTCATTGGTAAGGAATTCTAGAATATTAATACTTAAGGTGTAAGTGTTCATTTGTGTATTTACGTTATCAGGGTATGCTTTGTTGTTTTCTTTTTACTGCCTCTTATTAATGATGGATTCTCATAGCAATATGATGTAGCAGTATTGTTTGTCAAAGTCTGAAGACAGTTTGACTGTTTGCCTTGCTTAATTTAATTTAATGGTTTCAACATTGTGTTGTAGGTGCAAAGTACTTCCTGGATGCCACATCAACCTTATCTTATGCAACATGCGGTAAGTTGCTAACAGTTTTCATGAAAAAAGTTTGAATTTGAGTGGCAGGGAATCATAATGTAATTACATTGGCTTGTCAGGTTCTTTACTCAGAGAGTAGTAAGGGCGTGGAATGCCCTGCCTGCAAAAGTAGTAGACTCGGCAACTTTAAGGGCATTTAAATGGTCATTGGATAAACATATGGATGATAATGGAATAGTGTAGGTTAGATGGGCTTCACATTGGTTTCACAGGTCGGCGCAACATCGAGGGCCGAAGGGCCTGTACTGCGCTGTAATGTTCTATGTTCTATGTCAGGGAATTTGGTGAATATTTTTCCTAATTTTCCCAAATGTGACTTTAATGCTGCTGTGAATGAATGACTCTAGTGGATTAGCAGCAGCTACTGCAGTGTCCTAAATGCAAAGGTAGGATTCGTAACAAACACGATAATCTACCCTCCTCAGCAAGAAAGCTCACTGGGTTAAGTGATAATCAGACACTTGAGTGGGCACTAACACACTTCTCAGCTGATTGGCCAGCACACTGCTGGCCCAAGAACCAATCGGAGGCCAGCAACCGCTTTGAATGCCAACACTACTTCAGAGCCCCAGATTGCTGACTGCAAAGCAGTGCTGAAGAAAGCCAGGAGTAGGGGTGGTGGTGGTGGTGGGTGGGTTGAATGGTGGGGGGTAGCATTGTGTTGGAGATGGTAAGGGAAGGATTGTGATAAATGGCCACTGCCCTGAACTCCATCTGTGCCTACAATCACCCCCAGATTGGGACAATTGAGGTCATCCTATTATAGCAATCAGGAAGGCTGCTACTTTTCTCGTCTACTGAAAAGAAAGCCATTTGGGTCAGAGGTGGCTCAGGAAGGTTGACCATGACCTTTTGTATCTACAGTTTAACTCCTGAAGTGACAGGAAGGGGGTGCATGTCTCACCGATGCTAAATCAGCACAAGTCCTTTTGGAGGAGTTTAGCTACCTCTGATTGTAATTCCTACAGAATTAGCTGAAAACAATAATAGTAAACTGCTCCCTTCAGTTTACTCATTAGTTCTTTACTACAAAGACTCTGCGGCAGACAATGGCAAATTATTTTTCTACATGTATCGGTGATTCATGATAGTAGTACATCCAGCAGGTAGTGAAGTGGAAATTTTTGTTTTTGTTTTGCAGCTTTTGTTTTTCTAATTCGCTCAAATATCTTGAAAACTAGAACAGTTCTTTAATGATGTTCAACTGCTCTTTACGTTTTTAGTACTAATTCTGAATTTACATCTAATAATTATTACTTTCTCTTCCATCCTGAATGAACTTGAATTCAGTGAACCATCTGCCTCTATCCTGACTTGCTGCAAATCCTGCTTTCCATCAGCTTTCTGCTTACTGAACATCGTTATTCACTCCTGGTCCAGACAGGCCTCTAATATTCTCATCCTTCCCATAACCTTGCCACTGTCTATCTCTGTAAACATTACAAAGAGCAAATCAGGAGTGTGATAGAATACTCCCCACTTTCCTGGATGAATACAGCTCCAACACTTCTCATGAAGCTTGACACCATTCAGGACAAAGCAGCCTGTTTGATTGCCACCACATGAGCAATGTTGGATCAACCATGATCCGATTGAATAGCAGAGCAGGCTCAAAGGGCCAAATGGCCTACTCCTGTTCCTATTTCTTATGCATAAATATTCATTTATTCCACAACTGACACTCAGGAGCAGCAGATGCACTGAGAAATTCTTTGAAAGGACCTTCACACCCAATAATTATCTAGAAGGACAAGGATAGCAGATACATGAGAATAGCTGCCTGCAAGTTCCTCTCAAAGTCACTCCCCATCTTGACTTGGAAATATATCACTTTTGCTTCAGTGTCACTGGGTTAATATTCTGGAACTCATTCCTGAGCAGCATAGTAGGTGCACCTACATCAAATTGAGTTGCAACAGTTCAAGAAGGCAGTTTACCACCACCTCCTCCAGGGCAATTAGGGATGGACCAGCTACCAATGCCCAAAATCCCATTAATCAACATAGTAAACCTCTTCCAGCCTGTTAGAAGAACTGCGCTCCTCCAGTCTACCTCTCTGCATCCACACTTACTTTTGCCTCTCCGTTGATTATTGTGTTCCAATTGTTTAAGCCCTGACTTTGGAATTCCTTCTGAAATTCTCTAACTACCAGCCTGTCCTCCTCATGACCTTGCCTGCCTTTAGACACTTCATAATATCTAACTACTTGGCTAAGCGTTTTTTCGCCTGCCCTATTATCTCCTTACGTGGCTTAGTTTCAGACTGTGCCATGATAATGCTCCTGTAAAATACATTTCATATATGCTATATGAAGGCAGGTTTTATTAGAATGCTTTATGTTTACTTTTGTGTCCTCACAAATAAGTTAAAACTTTGTTCTAGTCATATCTTAACAGCCTTATTTATATTTGCATTGCATGATATATACTAATTATCAAAGCATATATTACACTGGATGCATTAGGACAATGTACGTGATGTAGATGCAAAATAAATTATTAGCATTCCATACAGTGGAGTGAAACTCAATTGAAGATGTGTCTGAAAAGCAGCAATACTTTCTCAAAGGGACATCTAGATATATATGCATGAACACCAAACAGATCTACCCCATCAACATTTGTCAATTTTTTTTTAAGCATCACTTCCTCTTTCCAAATGAAATTAAGTCAATGTCAAGAAACTGCTCATGTTTACTCTGAGATTTTGCTGGCTGAATCAGCTTTCCTTTTAGCTACGTTTGCATTTCATGGTGAATGATTTAAAAACTATTCTGCTAGAGTAGTAAAATGAGTTTATAGTGCAGAAAGGATAGTATAATCAGGCTGGTAGTGACTTAATGAATTCTTATTTCTGTGGATTCAGCATTTCATTAAACTGCAGCCTGTAAATCTTTTAATTTCGGCATGTGCGTTGGATGAGGATAATTTAACCCGTGTCACACCAACTTTACAAAATAAATTTAACTTGATTTAATTTAAAAGATATAAACATTACACTTCAACAGTTGGCAAATTCTGGCCTTCAAACAAATTATCTTTGACTGAAAGTTTACAGCTAAGTAGTTTAATATGAAAAGTGTCTTCGAGGATAATGTTGAATATCAATAATTTTGCAGGACAAATGCTTTAGTCTGCTATGGTTAAAGATTTTGAGGTAAAGTAGGTGTGTTCTCTCAAATTATTCATCTGAACAATAATTCGTTTACTAAAATTCACGATTTACAGTCATCATACTTCTCTGTTGAAAGATTTGGTAGATAAATTATGGGCTGCATTTTATGTGCCATTTTCAGGTGGAAAGCAAGTGGACCTGTGAAATAGGATGCTGTGTGATTAGCTTCCTCTCTATCCATACCTGCCCTTTACGGGTTTTTGTGAGCAGTAGGGGAGTTGTTAGGTAAGCCCCCTGCCCAGGGTCAATTGAGGCCCTTAAATGCCTACTTTTGTTATGGGACAAAAGGTGCTAGTCTGAGACTGGTTTGAGAGATAATCAGGCAATTCTATGAAGGCAAACTGTTGTTCCAGTAGGGTGAAATGGTTTGTGGGTGGGTGTACTTCATTGTCAACATCAATGCCACATCATGTTAAGTGTGATGGTCAAGAACTGGATTCTGTATGCAGAAGTTCCAGTATCCAGTATCATTTTGGGTTGAGAACCAAACTTAAGCTCACCAGCTGGATATTCAAACCCAATTGCTCTACTAGTTAGCACAGAATTCATCATCACTTGTTTAGTCACTTCTGTCAGACTTGCAACATTTATTTTCTTTTACAGTCAAACCAAAAATCTTTTTCCTCAACGTACTCTTTTTCTTTTCATTTAGGGAGCAGTGATGTCGCCATCTATGGATCATCATATGCCAATGCAGCCTACATCAATGATCACCCCACTGGCACAGCAGATGAGTCACCTCTCATTGGGCAGCACAGGAACGGTACATGGTGTTCCAGAGCAGGGTCATTTTTAGCCTCTACTTCTGTAATGAAAGTTTATCTTAGAAGAAAAATGTATTGCGCAGAAATGTTTGCAATTCACAGCTGCAAAATGGAATAACTTCGGGCCTGCAATATTTGTTTTCTCGTTCTGGCTGAAGATTGAGACAACAGCTTGTCTTTTCTTTTGTGGAATGTGTTGCCACTCCTCACCAATAAATGAGGATGGGGTTATTTGTGGACCCACCTTCTTGTGTTCGAGGTTTTTAGTTATCCACCATCATTTGTGACTGGATGTGGCAAGACCTCAGAGCTTTGCTCCGATCGATTTAGTTGTGGGATTGTCTAGTCCTGTTGTTTACGTGCTGTTTCTACTGTATGGCGTGCAGGTGTGTTATAGCTTAGCCAACTTGACACTTCATTTGCCTTGTGATGCTCACAGTATGCCCTCCTGCATTTTTCATTGGGCTAGGTTTGATCTCCTGCTTGAAGGTGGTGGTAGAGTGAGAGATATGCTGGGCTACGATATTATGGTAACATACTATCCTGCTGCTGCTGGCCCACAACATTTTATGGATGCCCTGTTTGGAGTTGCTAGACCTGTTTGAAGCCTGTTCCATTTAATATAGTGGTAGTGCCACACAGAATGACAGAGGATAATCTCAATATGCAGACAGGATTTGGTCTCCAAAATGATTTTCTGGTGGTTACTCCTACCAATACTGTCATGGACTGATGCATCTGCTGCAGGCAATTTGGCTCAGGATGAGGTCGAGTATATTTTTTCCTCCTTGTTGGTTCCTTCATCACCTGCAATAGGCACTGTCATACAAGTGGGAATGGACTGCCATTGTGTGTCAGTCAAAATAAATTGTTTCAATATTCCTCACGGAATAATTTTGTCAACACAGAAATAACGTAATTGCCTCTGAGCTGCAAAAACTGCTTTAGAACTTACTTTTTATCATATGCAGATTCCACTGTTGGTCTGTAAGAATACAGAAATTAGTTGGGTAATCTATTACAGTCAGTTTGTTCCTCAACATTAACTTAGTTAAGTCAAAATTTTTGACTTCTGAAGCTTCACTCCACCGATCAAGTGGGATAATGAGCTTAATCATGCTGTAGCCACTAATTTCAAGATCATCTCTTATTAAGATGCTTTGGTTCATTTAATAGCCAAGTAGAATAGCATCTGCTCCCCTCTAGGCTTTAGGACATGCAGTGTAGGAAATTAAATCAAAATTCATTTAGCAAAACTATTCTTTTCCCTAGTATTCCTATTCCAATTTGTCTTTGCAACCACTCAATTTAATTTGTAATCCAGCTAATGTGTCACCTTATTTTGTCATGTTATTTCCTTTTCTCTGTTGATCCCTTTATCACCATGCGTACTATTTGTTTTGTCTCCTATTTCCAGTACCCCAACTTCTTCCTTCCATCTGCACTATTAGAAAATCTTGCTTTATGCGTTTTCTCTCGCATCATACAGAGGAAGTAGCAGAAGTAAATTGTTTTAAATGTTCTTAATTGTGTTTGATAGCTTTGAACAGTTGCAGTTTAAGAATATATGTCAAATCCATTGCAGATCAAAAATATATTTGCAAATGTTTGTCAGTTTTCAAACATCGTGATTGCATTGGAATTGGTACAAAATTAAAATATTTTGATGAAGTAGACTGTTCAATTTAACTTAAAATGAAGTTAGTGTGTACCAAATAAGTACAATTAAGAAATGTATTCAGATGTTCATGATCACTGCAGCAGTGAGATTATGGGTGTCAAGGACTGTTTTGTTTTATTTTAAAGTACATGCCTGCTGCTACAGCTATGCAGGGAACATATATTCCCCAGTACACACCTGTGCCCGCAGCTCCTGTTCCAGTGGAGGTGAGTGTTATGTATACATGCCTAAGTCTAGGCATTGGATATGCAACAATAGGAATACCTATATAGAAATGAGAATTCTGTATAATTACAGGGAATTTTTAGATTAAATATTTGAGGTTAAATATTAAATACATGGCTCATTATTGTATTCTAAATTGGCTAATTTATAATGCTTGCTACTTAACTTTTCATATATCTGTTACATTCACATCACAGCTTAGTAGCTGATCCAAATTGCGTAAATATTTGACACACTTAAGTCAACTCTATGTATTTCAGGAAGTATGTTTAATAGAATGCTGTACTGGAATGTTATACTGTCTGTACTGCCTGTCTGGATCAATGTCTCAGCAGTGAAACGAAGACATTTCTGTAATTGGTGCTTTTCAACTTAATTCCATTGAATAATTTTATTTTTTATAAAAAGATAATATTGAAAAGCTACAAGTGAATTCATGACCCATGATCACAGCATGAACCTTGTTGATTGTATTTCCTCATCACAGGAGCCTAGTGGCCAGCAGCAGCAAGTTTCTGTAGAGACATCAACTGAACATTCTCCCTACTCCTATCAGCAAAGCAAGTAAATCTCAGGTGCTAATAATTGTTGCATGTATTGGTGATTTTTTTTCCCCCTGTGAAGATTTTAAGCCAAATTGACAGAACTTATAGCAACCAGGTGTTTACACATGAACCAAATTTAAAAGCAGCAGCATCATAAATATCCTGAAAAGCACTTTCATCATGTATTCAGTTGCTCGAAAAGCGTAGCAAAGATAACATGTGAAATGTTTACAAATACTTCTTTGATAGATTTTAGAATTGCTCTCCCAAAGTATTACTGTGAATGAATAAAGTAATTCTTCAGCTATTTTGGTACTGTAATCAAATATTGGGTTCAATCTCCCCAGCCCCTGAAAGATATCGGTGGCTCAGTGATCAGCACTGCTTCCTCACAGCGTCAGGGACCCAGGTTCAATTCCAGCCTCGGGCGACTCTATGTAGTTTGCACATTCTCCTCATGTCTGCTTGGGTTTACTTCCACAGTCGAAAGATGTGAGGTTAGGTGGATTGGCCATGCTAAATCATCCAATGTGTCCATTAGGTGGGTTAGCTATGGGAAATGCAAGGTGATAGGGTGGCAGGGGGTGAGACTTGTTGGGATGCTATTCACAGAGTTGGTGTGGACTAGTTGGGCCGAATGGCTTGTTCCCAAACTGTAGGGATTCTAGAATATCGCATTGGTGAATCAGTTGGAAAAATGTGGTGACAATAACGTTCTCAATGTCAAGAGCAAAAAGTCTGATTCTCAAAACATGTGTTGAATGGCGAGATGAGTAGTGAGTAGCTAGAGGCCTATTTGCATAAATTAGCTGGTTATTGTTACCTAACCTCACCTCCCTGCTAGTTTCCCATTGTCCCTCATGACTGCAACTCGCTGCTTAATCCTCTAGGGCATCCATCTTGGACAGCAATCTTCAACATCTCAGGGCAAGCTCCATGGGCAGCGACCACCTGCACATCCCATCCACAGACATTGGCATTGGACATGTACCAGGCTCACTGCAACCTCATGGCACAACTCTGACCTACTGACAATACAGTACTGCACTTCCCTGGTACACTTTGGAGCCCACCGACACCTTTCCTTGTACTGGTGCTGCCAGAACGCTTTACACGTAGGGACAAGCTGAATCTCATGAATTTGACCAGGCTGTTTCTCGGGGCTCCTCACTTGCTATCTTAGCAGTTATTCACTTTTCGCCTATTCAGATGCTCACAGCATCTTTATCTTGCCTTATCTAGTTTAGCATTTTTCCACTGTACTCTGTCAACCAGAGCCGTCAATCTTTCTTTACCTTTTGTGCAGACACAAAGCCAGGAAGCTTGTCATGATTATCAGCAGTGATCAATCAAGGGGGTGAATATGTTGCTATATGTCAACATGCTACATCATGTCACACCTGCAGTATGTGTCAGCAGCTTACCCGGCAAACAACACACTGAATGTGATTGAGCCAAATGACCACATCACAATGTGAAAGGGAACTCGTCCTCCATGAGGCCAAGGGAGACAGCCTTATGTCACGTCAACACAAGAAGTCAAAGGCAGCATCCACATCAGTCAGGGTCTTGGCACAACCAGTCAGCTGCTTTGGGTGGTAAAGGCATTCATATCATTGCGGTCCAGGGACTAGGCCATGGTCAGTCTTGCCGGTCCAACACAACCAATCCAGGGAGTCACGGTACGTCAGTCAGGGAGCTGTGCAGAGATCCAGTCAAACATCAGTCAGAGATCCAGTCAAACATCAGTCGGAGCTGTGTGTCCAAGTTGGTCTGTTGGGCCATGGTTAGTCCTGGGGGTCAGCTCAGTGATAGTCAAGAGAGATCATCAGGGGCCACTGCTTTTCTGGGGAAGTTGGGCAAATTATTTCTCGTACTGGAGGCAGCATGCTGGGATGCAGAG